CGCCGTGGTGCCCCCCCCCCCCCCCCCCCCCCGGCTGGAAATATGTATATTTCTGTACAGTGTCTCCAGAGCTTTCCTGCCTAGGTTGCTATGTGGATACACCAGCTCTACAAAACACCACTCCCTATAATCATCCTTACAGCAAAGGTTATGTAACTAGGTGTGGGCTGATCCTGTATTTACCAGTTTTTCTTTAACTTTGAATGACATCACAATGAGTTAATATTTATATAACTGTGCCTCCATTTTTCCTAATAGGGTATGGGTCAAATGCCCAGCTTTTCTCAAATGCTGTAATTATCTCTGACAAATACAATCCTTGATAAAACCAGCCTTTTAATCCCATCTGTCCCGTCCCTTATGTCAAAATAGATATTCTGCTGCAGAAACATTTTTGTTTACGAACTATATGCCTGATCTGTATCATTATTAAGGTGATGTCACAAAAGCAATTCATCATTTTTCCTAATTAAAAGAAAAAAATCAAACATCAGCTCTAATTGGGTTTGAGTGTTAATCCCAAACTCTTCTTTAACTCTTTAGGTAAACGCAGTGTCTTCTGCGGAGTAACGATTTCATCTTTGCTTTTGTGACGGGGACAGATTTCCACTAAAAGTCGTGCTCAGCTCATGTCTGTCATTATGATCTAAGTATAGGAAGCAGATTGTTGCAGTTTAAATGTGCTGGGCAGTGTCATTCAGAAGTTCTAGGTGAAGTGTGGTAGGCTGGGTTGCCTGCTGTCTTTTTTAGCTCCTGGGTACTTTAGCAATAAGATCTCCTTAACATTGTTTTTGGCTCCGTAGCACTTAACTCTTATTGCCACTACCACTTTTTTTTGTGTTTTTCGTATAGTGTTGGGAAGAGTGAGAACCTCTCTTAGGTTAACTTGTAATTTGGGGGCCAGTTGGGGAGAACATCTAATCAGGGAAAATCTCCCCAACAGGACCTGCACAAATGTAACTAGACTTTACTTACTCACTTACTGTATCTAGAACTATAGTTTGGGTCTGAGTTCTGAACTCTCCAGCTTCTACCGGAAACCTTTTTTTTTTTTACAGGACTTAGTCATATGTGAAAATGCTTTTGCTTGACCCACTTTTAATCAGTGTTGCTTGTTGTTGTGTAAATTGTAGCTTAAATTACATATTGTACCTTTCTCTCTGTCGGTTTATACTGCCACATACAGGATGACTGGCAAACAAAAAAAATCTGCAGGTCCAGCCCAGGATAATCCCTCCTATTCCCAGCATGCCCTCTGTATCTCAGAAGGATGGACTTTTTTTTTTTTCAGCCCTGTTGGTGAACGTCTTACAATTTTTTTTGCTAGCTTTTTCTTTTGTTTTGTCATTTTTCTTTTTTTTCTTCAATCAAGATTGCTCGCTTCTTGAGTTGGCCTAGATGCCAGCCATCCAGAATGGCCCCGCCTCAACATAGCATTGGAATGCCATACCGGATTCTCAACAGATTGGATGTTGCACGGCTAGCCTGCAAGTGGCTCTTGGGTACTGTGTTCCATGATCGGTGCTTTCCAGGACCCAGTTATGGTAACAAGCTAGCCGGGAGAGCTTTCAATGAGCCTCTGGTATTGCCTCATCACTTGCCCTGTCTTTCAACTCACTCTGAATAGGTTGATTGAGCTGGCCACCAGGAGCTACCTCATTATTTGCACTGTTTAGCACCTTTCTGCTTTTTGTTGGATCACTGCTGAAGGGGTTAACACTAAGGGGCTGATGTCAACCACTGTGAGGTGTTTTTTTTTCCCCACCATTTAGCATCCAGAAGCATTGACCTGTTGCTGCTCCTGCTTTGCAAGGAGCCATATGGCACTTAAATCACTGGTCCATTCCTACTGCCTCTATACAGTGATGTTGGTCACGTTTGGCCTTCAGACCCTCATTGTCTGCCAGCTGCCTGAGTTTAGTACCTGAGGTTGTACCTCATACCCTGTACTTAGTCGTACCATGTTTGTATCTAGATGCAGAGGGCATAACCCTGCTACAACAACATAAGTGTACTCCTGCACTTTCCCTGTTTCGGATCTCCTTGCAGCTCTAGAAGAGATCAGGCCACTTGTCGAAGTGCCCATCTCTTACTTAAATTCAGGGTGCCCTTAGCTTCTCTGATAAGTTGTTTTTGAGGAATTAGTCTTCTGCAATTTAACTTAGCCATACAAGAGACCGTTTTCAGCCCCTATTGATGCGATAAGCACTACTCTGCCTCAGGAGGTCTATACCTACTTTGATCCTTCACCTGCTTTGGGATAAAGGTACAACCAGACCCTTTTGATGGTTCTTGGCCTCCCGCAAGGCTGGAAGCAAGAAACCTGCACACTAAGCAAAGTCTTCGGCATGAAGGTGAGCCCCCAATTTTCAAAGTGTTGGGGATATTTGCTAATCCTGCATAGTAGTTTGCCCTTCGGTCACCAAGGTGCAGGGAGTGACCCTTTACATTTAAAGGATAATCCCTTGCCTGTGACACTGTCTTCAGCCAGCTGCTTACCCTTTCAGCCCCAGTACCAGCACACAGATTAACAGACCTTCCCCTGTCTCTCTGGGGCCTCCTGAAACCATGGTTGCTTTCTCTAGCTTTTGTCGCCTCATGCACAAGAGCAGTGTTCCACCCTGGTCACTAGCCTTACAAAGAGCAATTCTTCCCATTTGGGACATCAGTGGTGCCTGGTATCCATCAGTGTCACAATCACTCTTTTCCAGAGGGACCCTCTGACCTGCTATGTCAGCTGGGATCATCATTGGCTGTTCCCGAACCAGAGCTCTGGCTCCTCAGCGTCGGTCTTGCAGACGTGTTGGCTCCAGTGTCTGTACTAATGACCTCGGTTTACAGGTTCATGAAGACCGTTCTGGTGCTCTTCCCTGCTTTTGGATTTGCTCAAGTGAACATTCTTCACTGTCCTGATAGGAATCCTGTCTCTTGTTCCATGGACTCTGCTTCTTTGTTGGATCTGGGGAGTCAGGAGCATCTTTAACCCTGTGATTCTTCAAGGAACCTCATGGGTTCGCCCCAGGGGTTCCATTGCCATGCTAATTAGAGGTGCACAGAAATGGAAATTTTAAAACTGAAAGAAAAAAAATTGTCAGGCCGAAACCGATACCAAAAATTTGTAAAAATTTTTTTTAATTTTTTATAAACTTTTTATTTTTTTTTTACTTTTAGGGGCTTCAGGAAAATATTGGGGGTCTAAACAGATTTCTGATATTGACAGTCCTCAATCTCTTTTTCTGCAGCCCATGTTATAAATGAACAGGAATCCTCTATACTGAGTGTTCCTGTTCATTGGTAACATGAGGACAGAGTATGTTTACTATAACTATAGTAAACATGCCGGCCGCTCACTCTCCTCCCGCAGCGCTCGACCGGCTGTCACACTTTCTCTCCTTCCCGCTGGGACACAGGACAAACATTCTAGGTTTAGATATTCTCATCCCTTTTTTTTTTTCGATCTTTATCCTTAAACTTGCAGTAAACACGTGAAAAATATAGGGCACAAACATAAGTGACAAGTAAACTGAGCTTAGGTTTTTTCTTCTGGTGGGGTAGCTCTTGATGCCAACAACCTAGCCGTCTGCTACAAAAAGCAATGGTGGTACTACTGTTTAGTTATGTCATGGTAAGCTAAGCTGCAGGCTCATCAATCCTCTAGTGGTCAGAACAGTGGGCATTCACCCCGTTGAGAGCAGACACCGTACAACATACTTGTCCACTCCAGCACTGCGCACACCCTCTCCACAATAAGGTAAATCCATTGGTAGGGAGCTGATAAAGGGAAATTAACAGAGAAAAGGAGATGGAAATGACCAGGAGTGGGGTTGGTGAGACACCTGAGGAACAAACCACTACTGTAAGGAAAATCAGTTGATTACAGCAACTTCACATTCCGTGAGCAACGGATGGAAATGTGTGGTATCTCAGGAGAGTATTCAGGTGCATAAGTACTAGAAAATTGAGAGTATCAAAGTTGGGCCATTAGCTTTTTTTTTTTTTTTGTGTGCGCACCAAGTGGTCAATTCATGTATCTACTCCTGTAAGGAGGGAGCGGTTACAGATTTCTAATGCCTAAGGATAACCATTTTGGCTGCTACAAGGAAGAAGGGCTTCTATGATCCTTTTGTGGTCAGGTGAGCAGAGGCTTAGGGTTTTCTTTTTTACAGGACATTCCTGGCAGGTTCTTCCCTGCCAGGAAATTGTCTGTTCAACCCCTCTTGTTGGTTCAGGTTAATTAGCATTTTGCTTTCTGTCAATGGTGCAGTGCTCTCTCCCATATTCAGTCACTCCTCTCTGATTTTGTGACAATTCTTTCTTGATATTGAGTATCGGCTTGGTTTTCAGTCGTCTCCCTTTCAGTCTTTTGTTGTTGCTTGTATTCCTCATCAGGCAGGAGGTCTAGCCTCATCCGATGCTGGATACTGGTATTTGTCATTCAGATGACTCTTGAACTTCAAGCAGTCCCAAGTTCTTGTTTTCAATGGGCTTGTTACCGTGTGATTGCTTTTTGTCAACCCCTCAGTTGGACTTCCAATAGTAGATTTCCTGTGTCTCCCAATGGATGAAAAAGAAAATGCAATTTTTGTACTTGCTGTAAAAACCTTTCCTTGGGGTCCATTTAAGGCGCACAAGTCCCACCCTTCTGTTCATGCTCTTGGTACTGCTTGCTGTAACCTATGGCATGCTGGGAATAGGAGGGTTATCCTGGGATGGCCTATAAATGTTGCCAGCGTCCAATCCTCCTGAAGGCGGTAATCTGACCCAAAGAGTAAGATGACTTCCTGTGTCCCTTAATGGATTCCAAGAAAATGATTTTACAGCGAGTATAACAATCCTGTTTTCCTCTTAAATACTTATTTTATTTTACTTGGGTAGAGAGGGAAATGGTTATGTCAGATTTGTATCGCACTGTGTCCCAGCTAGGGGGGGATTTACCTCACTTTCGGCCCTGGTAAGCACACAAGAAGTGAAAAGACCTTCTGCATGGAGGCAAAGACTACAATAATTTAAAAAAACAAAAAAACAAAAAGGTTCCCAATCTACTATAGCAAAATGGTTTATTATTGCCCGTCCCTCACTGAAGAGACTTCCTGCTTCTGTGACCATACAGGAAATTAGGGAATATGTCCTGAATGGCTAAAGAAACCGTGATAACCTGACATAGGTTCCCACCTTTTCCTAAAAGAGTGCTTTATCCACTTTTCACATTTCTGCTTTGGGCCTGATTATTCAGAGATTAAGTATTGACATTAAGCAAAACATACATTGTAGTAAAACATTTTTTGCAATATTGTCTCGGGCGTACAAGATATACCCTAGAAACTTTGACGTCTTCTTTAGCCCTCGTTCACACCTGAACGTTTTGTAGCGCGTTCTACGCTCAAAAATATAAATCCCATTGTTTTCAATGGGTCTGGTTCACACCTTGCCGTATTTCAGCCCGTCCCTAACGTGCTACAAAACGGCCCACGCCTGAAAAAGTACATGTACTACTTTGGGCTGTTTTTTGTTGCGCGTTTCCATTGGGATACAGCCAAGTAGCCCTCGGAAACACGATTTTTTTTTACCGCGAATTGCAGTAAAAAAACGTGCGACAAACGCACATATGCAATACGCCTAGGTGTGAACCAGGCCTTAGGGTTTATCTCCTACGATTGAAGGTCTTCAAGTGATTACATTTGTGCTGCCATAATGGTTGATGTGTATTTCTGACAAGAATATATATTTGTATTTTCCCAGGGCCACGAGTGAACAAAGCCAAGGTTCAGGCAGCACGAGAAAGAATAAGAGGCACAGAAAATGAAAGACTTCTTGCCCACTAGGGTGACTGTGTACACTATAAAGACCCCCATGCTCTGGAGGAGGGAACAGAGTCAGCTGGAGCTGCAGGACCATTTAGGCACCACCTCTCACTACAGCTGGCAGCCTCAGGAAAGGAACTCTTCCATGACAGCAGTGTTATAGCAATGACTTCCACTGTAAAAATTTTTTTTAATTTTTTATAAACTTTTTATTTTTTTTTTACTTTTAGGGGCTTCAGGAAAATATTGGGGGTCTAAACAGATTTCTGATATTGACAGTCCTCAATCTCTTTTTCTGCAGCCCATGTTATAAATGAACAGGAATCCTCTATACTGAGTGTTCCTGTTCATTGGTAACATGAGGACAGAGTATGTTTACTATAACTATAGTAAACATGCCGGCCGCTCACTCTCCTCCCGCAGCGCTCGACCGGCTGTCACACTTTCTCTCCTTCCCGCTGGGACACAGGACAAACATTCTAGGTTTAGATATTCTCATCCCTTTTTTTTTTTCGATCTTTATCCTTAAACTTGCAGTAAACACGTGAAAAATATAGGGCACAAACATAAGTGACAAGTAAACTGAGCTTAGGTTTTTTCTTCTGGTGGGGTAGCTCTTGATGCCAACAACCTAGCCGTCTGCTACAAAAAGCAATGGTGGTACTACTGTTTAGTTATGTCATGGTAAGCTAAGCTGCAGGCTCATCAATCCTCTAGTGGTCAGAACAGTGGGCATTCACCCCGTTGAGAGCAGACACCGTACAACATACTTGTCCACTCCAGCACTGCGCACACCCTCTCCACAATAAGGTAAATCCATTGGTAGGGAGCTGATAAAGGGAAATTAACAGAGAAAAGGAGATGGAAATGACCAGGAGTGGGGTTGGTGAGACACCTGAGGAACAAACCACTACTGTAAGGAAAATCAGTTGATTACAGCAACTTCACATTCCGTGAGCAACGGATGGAAATGTGTGGTATCTCAGGAGAGTATTCAGGTGCATAAGTACTAGAAAATTGAGAGTATCAAAGTTGGGCCATTAGCTTTTTTTTTTTTTTTGTGTGCGCACCAAGTGGTCAATTCATGTATCTACTCCTGTAAGGAGGGAGCGGTTACAGATTTCTAATGCCTAAGGATAACCATTTTGGCTGCTACAAGGAAGAAGGGCTTCTATGATCCTTTTGTGGTCAGGTGAGCAGAGGCTTAGGGTTTTCTTTTTTACAGGACATTCCTGGCAGGTTCTTCCCTGCCAGGAAATTGTCTGTTCAACCCCTCTTGTTGGTTCAGGTTAATTAGCATTTTGCTTTCTGTCAATGGTGCAGTGCTCTCTCCCATATTCAGTCACTCCTCTCTGATTTTGTGACAATTCTTTCTTGATATTGAGTATCGGCTTGGTTTTCAGTCGTCTCCCTTTCAGTCTTTTGTTGTTGCTTGTATTCCTCATCAGGCAGGAGGTCTAGCCTCATCCGATGCTGGATACTGGTATTTGTCATTCAGATGACTCTTGAACTTCAAGCAGTCCCAAGTTCTTGTTTTCAATGGGCTTGTTACCGTGTGATTGCTTTTTGTCAACCCCTCAGTTGGACTTCCAATAGTAGATTTCCTGTGTCTCCCAATGGATGAAAAAGAAAATGCAATTTTTGTACTTGCTGTAAAAACCTTTCCTTGGGGTCCATTTAAGGCGCACAAGTCCCACCCTTCTGTTCATGCTCTTGGTACTGCTTGCTGTAACCTATGGCATGCTGGGAATAGGAGGGTTATCCTGGGATGGCCTATAAATGTTGCCAGCGTCCAATCCTCCTGAAGGCGGTAATCTGACCCAAAGAGTAAGATGACTTCCTGTGTCCCTTAATGGATTCCAAGAAAATGATTTTACAGCGAGTATAACAATCCTGTTTTCCTCTTAAATACTTATTTTATTTTACTTGGGTAGAGAGGGAAATGGTTATGTCAGATTTGTATCGCACTGTGTCCCAGCTAGGGGGGGATTTACCTCACTTTCGGCCCTGGTAAGCACACAAGAAGTGAAAAGACCTTCTGCATGGAGGCAAAGACTACAATAATTTAAAAAAACAAAAAAACAAAAAGGTTCCCAATCTACTATAGCAAAATGGTTTATTATTGCCCGTCCCTCACTGAAGAGACTTCCTGCTTCTGTGACCATACAGGAAATTAGGGAATATGTCCTGAATGGCTAAAGAAACCGTGATAACCTGACATAGGTTCCCACCTTTTCCTAAAAGAGTGCTTTATCCACTTTTCACATTTCTGCTTTGGGCCTGATTATTCAGAGATTAAGTATTGACATTAAGCAAAACATACATTGTAGTAAAACATTTTTTGCAATATTGTCTCGGGCGTACAAGATATACCCTAGAAACTTTGACGTCTTCTTTAGCCCTCGTTCACACCTGAACGTTTTGTAGCGCGTTCTACGCTCAAAAATATAAATCCCATTGTTTTCAATGGGTCTGGTTCACACCTTGCCGTATTTCAGCCCGTCCCTAACGTGCTACAAAACGGCCCACGCCTGAAAAAGTACATGTACTACTTTGGGCTGTTTTTTGTTGCGCGTTTCCATTGGGATACAGCCAAGTAGCCCTCGGAAACACGATTTTTTTTTACCGCGAATTGCAGTAAAAAAACGTGCGACAAACGCACATATGCAATACGCCTAGGTGTGAACCAGGCCTTAGGGTTTATCTCCTACGATTGAAGGTCTTCAAGTGATTACATTTGTGCTGCCATAATGGTTGATGTGTATTTCTGACAAGAATATATATTTGTATTTTCCCAGGGCCACGAGTGAACAAAGCCAAGGTTCAGGCAGCACGAGAAAGAATAAGAGGCACAGAAAATGAAAGACTTCTTGCCCACTAGGGTGACTGTGTACACTATAAAGACCCCCATGCTCTGGAGGAGGGAACAGAGTCAGCTGGAGCTGCAGGACCATTTAGGCACCACCTCTCACTACAGCTGGCAGCCTCAGGAAAGGAACTCTTCCATGACAGCAGTGTTATAGCAATGACTTCCACATTGCTAAAGAAGTTTTCCCACATGTACATAGAAGTTACATTTTTATTGGGAAAGATGTTTTTTTTTTTGTTCTGTACAATCTCTAATTTATGGACAACCCCCAAATTGTTTTTGAAATGCAAAACCAATGCAAGTTCCCCAGGTCCTTAATTTCAGATGGAGTCTTGTTTTATCATGAAGTAAAATATTATATTTTATGAACCAATTTGCTAATACATTACTTTTATACTTCGAGAATACATGAGCCGAATGAAGAAAGAAAGGAGCTCACACCATTTTATAAGCAGAATCTGCATGGACTTTATTCTTAATATAATACATTTGTACAATTTTTATATGCAGGCTACGCAGAGCTAATCTTCAGCAATGCTTGTTCACCAAACCGCTGTCTGAAGAAGGTCACATGTTCCTCACAGTGTTCTCCTGCAAAGAAGAAATACGGTGGAAGGTTGGAGAATAGACGAATGGTCTTGCAAAGTGGAACACCAACTAAACCTTAGTTTTGGACAGTGTGGTGAAGGGTTAGACTCTGTACTATTTGTTCCCCTTCTAGAGGGGCTTTCCTTTACTTTCTGCCACAGTGGCAAGTATTACAGAGAGGAAGCAGGATTAAATTTCCCAGCGTATAACACCGCACAAAGAAAACACTACCCAGGCTGCTAAAGTGTTTTTATTGCGATCTGTCCAAGTTGAAGAGCATTCTACTCATTTCTGTTCTAGTGACCACACTCTCCAAAAAGGTTTAGCAGGAGTTCACTTCTATTAAACGTTGTAGGCGATGTACACAGTGCAGACATTACTTCCAGTTTTCATTTTTAAGGAAACTAAAATTGAATTGTATAGTTTTTCTAATTAAAATATGGCAACTTGATCACCTGGTTTCATTTATTTATATACCTCTCCTTCGTAACAACCTCATGAAATGGGCACTTATGGACTTAACAGTTTAAAGTAACCAATAAGGATCAGAATTCACTTTGGAAAGTCAGATCAGTACAAAATGGATTCCAACTGGCTTAAGTTTGTAATATATTTTTTCAAAAAAAAAATCCATTAGTATACAATAGTTCTAGTTCACATGTTCAGCATAAGAATTAGTGGATAATTCAACGATACTGAAGGAAAGTAGACTTCAATTTGCATGGGGATATTTCCTTAGGTTACTGAATGTAAAAATTCACAAACATTAAAAAATTATTTTTGCTTAACACATGATTGGATGATGGAAATCAGCAGGGATTCACTAAGCTAAGGGAAAATGATCTTGCAAAGTGAACAGCCTATTTGCCTTTAGTAAACCTACCTCTCACAGTCAATTTAAGATTGATACATTTGGGTAGAATAACATAACTTTTTCCTAAAAACATGTTAAGATCGTTAACGGAAAAAAAATATATAACTGATTGTCTTGCAAACGTTTTATGTAGTTTGCTCAGAATTTGCAACTTTTCTTGAAAGACAACTGTACATTTGATAAAAATTAGAATATCTCACCCTCACCATCCTGGAGTAGGGCCCCATACAGGTCTATGGAAGTGCACTGTGCAGGACATTGCTATGCTACTGAGGTAAGAAGGAATATGAGGGGGGGACTACAGTAGTGTTTATCAATTGTACCAGAGGGGACAATATCCACTTCATCTTCCGCTTCTGGGAATGAGCTCTTGTAGTGAGCCCCTGCCCCATAATACTTTGAGTGAGCCCCTGCCCCATAATACTTTGAGTATAAGTATTTATTCCCACATCATACATTTAATAAAGGAAAGTAGCTTTCTCCCACATGTATTATCTGCCCAAGACAGTCTAAAAATGAGAAATAGAAATATCTTGCTGGGAGTATGCACTCTAAGGTTACAATATCTAACCTGGTGTGAAATTGGGGTTTCCTCGAAGACGCTGGTTTCTTTGCTCAAAGAATCTGAAGACTGTGTAGAAGAGCATGTCATTAGACGTCTGCTTTGCAGCATCCAAGAACTTGCGAGACGATACACTGT